TCTAATAGTTAGCAGGTAACAGCTTCGTTAGCACTACCTTATTATCCTGTCAATCAACAATCCGTAACGACCCGCCACGAAATGCAACACACGAATGCAACGTCTTATTCACATCAGAACTCCCAAGTCTTTTATAACAGCGTGAGTGAGTGAACATCGACCGTCAACTGCGTTCAACAAACTATCAACGCGTAAATAAGCATCACTCATGCTCGCTAGATCTACGTTCACTACACGCAGACAGACTACTACCCATCGGAGCATGGCGCTGCCTCAGAAATTAACCCAACGCGTATAAGAGCTTACCGATTGCTTTAGTGTCACCTACTTGCATAGGCCACTGTGTATTAATCCCGACTTCGGTAAAAATTCCCTGTGTGCGTTTCGGCCCATTACTCTGCTCATACATTACTGGTACCGCATGAGACCCCAGGCGTAAACACCGCGGTGGCGGACTATATTCGCCCGCGTACCTGTCGAGGAAGTCTGACACCAATAAACCATCGTATGGCATGTCCTTGCATACATATAAGGTGTGCTGGTACAAACTACCCGCAATAGTGAGTGAGACATCAACACACCCCCTACTACGCATCGCAGTACCGTTCGCGGCCTTAACCTAAATTGACGCCTCCACCAGATATGGTTTAAACACTTTCTGAGGGAACCGTCCTGCGTTGACCAAGGAATATCTGGCACCCGTATCAACAAGAAAATGCATTAACCTATTGCATAAACCTATGGATATGAAGGGTCGGGTGTGAGTACATGACGCATGAATGGCAGGGCATGGAACTGACGCACCTGGAGGCTTCTCAGAACCTTCTCCGCCGCGAGGTTTCCCCGTCCATTGTCCGCCGATTCCTCTGTATCGCGATTCTTGAAAGCTGTTCGTCCGTGGACGCCATTGTTGGGTTTGACGGTGTCGATCCGTGGCGGGGGGCGAAGCGGTAAACCCCACGTCGCGATCCGCTGAGGGAACCCTCTCCACCTCTGTTATTGACAGAGGCAAAGGTCCTGCGTGCCGCTTGCTGATCTCAGCTGGTAGTCCCTTGATAACGAAGGCTACCGTCAGGCTCTCGGTTGGGGCACCAGGGTAGCTCTTTGAACCAGATCATACACGTCAGCCGTGTAGTCGACTACCCGTTCCCCGGTCCGGTAGCAACGACTTACGTGTTTCACCTGACTGTGTTCAGCCTTCTCTGCCAACAACTGGGGCAATTTATTCAGTAGTTGTTCATACGGTGCCCGTGCAGTGCAGCCTGCCATAGCAGCAATACGCCTATGGTCCTTCCCACGTCGACTATCTATGGTCCTTTCCACGTATGTTGCCACTTCCTGCCTTCGCCCACTGCATTCGTCGCAGCCATCCACACCAGATCACCTTCCTCGACAGCGGTACCATGGGCCTGTTTATCATAATAGTCCTTCTGTCGCTTGTGGGCTAGGGCTAACTGTGACCGGGCTGAGTCGAATGAAAGACGCAGTTGGCGTCGTGCCTCATCTACGTATTCGGAAGGTCCTACGTAATCCGGCTCTCGAGGTGGGGGAGCCACGACGTCGGCCGGCAACCGCAACTCATGTGCGAAGTTCATTACGGCTGGGGTTAGACCAGTGGAGGAGTGGACAGCCGACCTATATGCTAGTAGATATGCTGGCAAGGCGTCGTCGCACTGATTTAAGGCATTGTTGAGGACCTTTTACCGCGAGGCTAACCCAGAAAGACAATAAGTCCAGAGATGGTAGGTTGTCGTTCTAATACGGTTCGTCCCCAGAAGTCGTGTGAGATTTCGGAACAGGCTTGATTCAAACTGAGTTCCTCGGTCTGTGGTAATGGTGGAGGGGACTCCGAATAAGGCAACCCATCTGTCGACGAATGTTTTGGCTACAGTTTCGGCGGAGATGTCCTGCATTGGAAAAGCGTCTTGCCAGCGGGTAAAACGGTCAACGCATGACAAAATGTTACAAAAACCCCTTGAATGCGGTAATGGTCCAACGATGTCAAGGTGTACGTGATCAAAACGAGCATCTGGAACATTAAAGT